ATTTAAATATTGATCAATGAAAAGAAGAGTAAATGTATGGCATCTGTATGGGTAGTAAATTGGAAATTAATATTTGAATTCTGTAATACATATTATATAGATTCTACATAAATCTATATAATAATTGACTAGTGTCAAAACTGTTTTCATGGAGTCAACTTTTAATACTTTAGCAGCTTTGGATAAGGTGATATGGTAAGTAAATGATATATTTTATAAAAGCTTTCTGTGAGATATATAAAACTGAAGTATTTTTGTGCAGTTTTAATGTTCAAACATTTCAGAAATTAAATCATTATATTCCTTAAGGACATTATTGTCTTGGGAAATTTACCCAGAGTTGTTAACCATTTTGGAAATGTGTTACCAATGGCAAGCCCATTCCAAAATATCTGAAAACACCTGTCAACCAGGCTGCATCTGCACCCAGTGCACTCTGTGACAGTGACTTCAAACATAGTGCAAGCACTGGGTTATTTCTAGTGTGTTATTTTATTCTAGCTTGTTCTTTCCAAGCATTTACATGTCAAAATTCATAGTGTTTTATTATAAAATATTTTATTTTATTTTTACTTTATGTTAAAGGTTGGGCATTGTATTTTTTTTATTTATTATAAAGTTCTTTGTTTTTTTTTGTTTTTTTTTTGTTTTTTTTTTTTGAGACAGAGCCTCAAGCTATCCCTCTGGGTAGAGTGCTATGGCTTCACAGCTCACAGCAACCTCCAATTCCTGGGCTCAAGCGAGTCTCCTGCCTTAGCCTCCCAAGTAGCTGGGACCACAGGCGCCCACCACAACGCCTGGCTATTTTTTTTGGTTGCAGCCATCATTGTTGTTTGGCGGGTCCAGGTTGGATTCGAACTCGCCACCTTAGGTGTATGTGGCTGGCGCCTTAGCCACTTGAGCCACAAGCGCCAAGCCTAAAGTTCTTTGTTAAATCTAACATCTTATTTGCTTCCCCCCACAAAACTGCTTAATTCAATTATTTTTTGTGTTTAATGTATTAAGGACCTATTATCTTTATTTTTTCCGTGGTTGCTCTAGGTTAATAATATACTTCTTGATCTTAGTACAGCTTTCATTAAAATAATTTCTCTTTCTGTATTAAGAGTGTTCCACTAGTGTACTTTCATCCCCTGCCTCTTGTTCTTTGGATGAACGTTGGTATACATTTTATATTTGTGTATGCTTTAAACCTTAGCTACACTATCATTTTTGCTTTAGTCAATCACATTTTCAAAAGATTTTTTAAAAAATGAGAAAAAATGATATTTTATTTGGTCATATATTTAATAATACTGGTGATATTTGTTACTCACATAGATTCAAATTTCCATCTGGTATAATTTTTCTTCTGCTTAAAGCACTAGGTTTAAGACTCTGCAGTGAAGATCATAAAATAATTAATTTTATCTAATTTTGTTTTTCTAAATAAAATACTTTGCTTATTATTTTTGATTTTATATGTGATTTTACTGGATTTAACATTCTAGGTTGGCGTTTTCATTACTTTGTTACTTCATATTTTTCTTTACTTGAAATGTTATTCTTTTGTCTTCTATTGCGCATATTTTCCTGTAAAGAATTCAGATGCCATTTTGACTGTTATTTCTCTGAATTTAATGAATATTTTTTCCTTGGGATGCTTTTAAGATTATTCTCCTTATAATTGGTTTCCATCAAGTTGGTTGTGATGTTTCATGTCATGTTTTACTCTATATTTCTTGTTCTTGGAGTTGGTTGAGTTCTTTGGAGTATTTATAATTTTCATCAAATTTGGAAGAATTTTGGCTATTCCTCAAAATTATTTTATGTTCCCTTTCCTTCTTGTTCTTTAACTACTGAAGTGTTAAGCAATTCAACGTTGCCCCAGTAGCAACTGGTTTGCTGCTGAATTGGTTTTGGTCTCTTTTTCTTTTTCCCGAGTGTTTTACTTCAGTAGTTTGTATTGCTATATCTTTTTAAACTCAGTATTTTTTTCCCCCTCTGGGTAACTATTAATAATCTGTTTTTAATCTTACCCTGTGATGGGATTAAATTTCTTTAGTTATTTAATTTGTATTCTTCGCAGTTGATATAGTTCTGTTCTAACTCTTCTATCTCTTTGTTTTTCTTGTTCATTCTTTTCTCTATCTTCTAGAACATATGTAGTCCATTATGGGTCTTTTAACTGCCTTGTCTACTAATTTTGTCATCTGAGTAATTTTTCAGACAGTTTTTATTAGTTTGTTTTTCTCTTCTTTATGAATTAGGTTCCTCTTCTTCAATTTATTTGCCTCATAAATTTTGATTGGATGCCAGACATTGTGAGTTTTACATTATCTATTGCTGTTGTTTTGTTGATTTTTCATTTTTGTATATATATATTTTGGCATTCCTTTAAACATATCTTTGGATTTGTTTTGTAATACAGTTAAGTTACTTGGTAATGGTTCAGTCTTTTCAAAGCTTGCTTTAAAGCTCTGCTGAGTGGGTCTAAGATAGCTTTACTCTAAGGCTAGACAGCAATAACCTTCTGAAGACTTAACTGGTTCCCTTCCATTTTTGCTAGAAGGACAAACCTCTTCCAAGCCCTGAATGAACTGTATAGATTGTACTAAGCCTGCTCCTTGTAAATGTTTCTTTCTCTAACTCAGGTATTATCATCACTTATCTTACTCATCAATATGCAGTTAAAGATGTGTGCAAAAAAATTTGCACATCTTTAGATCTGTTTGTCTATGACTTTGTTTTGACACCCTCTGTTGTGAATTCTAGATGTCTTGTCTCTCTAAATCCAGAACTCCATGCTATAAACTCAGTGGGTATTTTGATTTCTTTTGGGGTTTCCCTCATTGCTATCCCAGTTTAATATCAGCTTTTTATTCGACTACTATTTCTAAGGTATCTATTTTTATATTATTCTCTTTCAACCTTTCTATATCTCTCAATTTTAGAAATGAAATCATACATTAAGGTTTTCTTTAATCATTTTATAGTCTTTATCTTTTAATTACAAGATTAATCCACTAACCCATTAACCTTTAAGTTTAATCTCTCATTTGATATACAGATTGATGTGTTTCATCAGTTAACTACCTTTTGATGACCTTTTGGGTTCTTAATTTTCTCTTCAGCTTGTAAAGTCTGCTGTTAAACTTGTTTATTGAGCTTTTAATTTTATTAATATTTTCCTAACTTTTTGAATTGGTTGAAGCTTTCTACTGATAGTACATACACAGAGGGTAAGACACATACCGATCAATAAATTTTCACAAAGTAAACAACCTGTGTTACAATCATTCATATCAACAATTAGATTATGATCAGCATCCTCGCTGTCCCCTTATGACAATCCCTGATAAGGTTCACTCTCCAAATGTAATCATTATCATAACTTTTAAACGCCAAAGATCAATTATCCTAGGTATGAAATCTTAAATGTATAAAATATTTGTTAAAGCCATCCATGCTACAAAGCATATTCATAGTATTCCATCATTTAAAAAATTCCATGAGATGTTGATGTACTATTGCACCATAAATGGAAATTTGAGTTTTCTACAGTTTTTGACTATTACAGTTGTGCAGCTGTGAATACTCTTGGACATGTTTTCATTGGAGCTGCAATAGTCATCTTGTGATGATTAAAAAAAAAAGACACATTTGCCCTAAATTTTGAGATGTTAACTTTGTATCAAGTAAGATAATCATCCTTAAATCTAGTTGAGCAAAGCTAGTTGACTTTTTTATTACTTTTCTTGAATGAAAGCATAGCTAGAAGCATAAAGTTTACTCGAAATACAAAGAGAGTTTAAGAAAAGAATACAGTTGAATTGTACCACATACCTGTCAGATCACCAGACAAATGAGGTGACAAATGAATTAAAACTAAATAAACGTATGGAGTAACTAAATAATTAAGTACTATATTCAACTAAAATAAACTTGGAAAAATTTATATATAATTTTCTGTGAAACCACATAGAAGGTTAAATTTTGTCAATTTAAGAGAAGTCTACACATTTACAAAATTTTGAAAAGTAAAACTTCTAACGACCATATAGTCTTATTATAAGCAAGTAAAATTAGGAATCAATAAACACACTTCCAGTGGTAGAATAATGGTGGCATCATAGTTTTGATAGTCCATAAAACTCTTCCTGAAAACTATAAATCCAATTGTGATGACAAATCAAATATATACACATATATACACATCCCCTCCTAAAAAAACAAAACAAAACAAAACTTAGATAAATTGCTAGCAAAACTGTTTGACAAAAAATTCCCATGAATAAGAACGGTAGCTGTGGTCTAAATGCAGGCAAGCTGGCTATGCAGACAAGCTATTTAGTTCAGCATTTAAGTCTATGTGGTTGACATTTATGAAAGCCAAAAAAACTACCACATGACCCTCCAATCTACAAAATTTCACTTGAAACTCTCAGAAATATCCAGAAGAGTAGGCTTCAAGGGAAGGGAACACTGTTAGAAGAAAAAAGCAAATTGAGGAACACAATTTGGGTAGACTGAACCAGAATAGTTCATACTCAATTGTTTACTGACGTTCAGCTTAAAATGGGGGGTGGCGTCCATTTAAAAACATATGTATCAACATATGTATTAGTGTCTTAAAACCTTTAAAGTGTAAGACAAAATTTCTTCTATAATAACTTTCTCACTGCTGAGTTTTTTCAAAGACAAACCTGTTGACACATTTATGATCTTGCTTGACTTCTAATTAAAAATGCAGGCAATTCAGAGTGTGTCACAGATTTTATTACATTCAGTATATGGTAACAATGTTATTGAAATGAGAACATTACTCTAATGGCTTCAAATATTATCTTTCTGAGAAAAACTAACAAGTTAACATTCAAATATAGAAAATACATATTTCTAAGACAGAAAAGCTCCTATTTTCAGTTGGCCTAATATCTTATTTTTGTCAACAGACAACTAGAGATATTCAAAATATCTTCTTTTCTTTCCAGAAGAAGTGTTGTATTGGGCATCGCCTGGTTATTTTTTCTTTTCTTTCTTTTTTTTCTGCGCTTCAGCGGCCTGGATCTTCTTTTCTGTCTCTGCCCTAATGGCAGCTTCCTGAGCGGCCAGGGCTTCCAACCTCAGGCGCTCAGCTTCCAGCAATTTGTTCCTGTACTCTTCTCGGATATTGAAGATCTTCTGTCGGGCTTCATCTAAGGAATCCTGCCCAAAGCAAAACCCCAGATAAATAAGTTCCACCGACAAACGTTTGTGGTCCCAGAAAAAAACCAATGCAACCCTCCTTGCCCTTTCCTTATGCCAATAGATTCGTGTGGGAAATTATGAAAGATGAAAATTCGGTTATGATCTCAAATGCTTACCAATATACAAACGTGTTATATATAGCCACAAAGGGTGCATGGGATTTGAACACAGCCTGGTAAACAAAAGCACCAGTAACAGAAAAATAAAGAGAAACATAAAGAAAGAAAGAATTGGGGATTTTGGCTAAAGGAACTCTGCTTTAGATGAGTTCAAATACAACTAATATAAAATATTAAGCCCAATGTCTCTTTAGAGTAACTGTGCTCCATAAATTATTAATTAGTTCCCACAAGTATTTTAGCTCTGGCAAAATGTATCTGAGTTGCCCCTAAAGAATTTCCAAATAGCATCACCAAATCTACTGCTTATCTTTTTTGCTGTCAATTTAACTTCATTCTTATCATTCCAATAAAACTGTATTCCTCAAGGACACCAATGACCTAAATATAGCTAAATCCATGATCACTTCTTGGTTCTAGTCTTGCTTGACCACATTCCCTTCTCCTGGATGGGCTGGCTTCATGTGGCTTCCTGGACATCACAGCCTCCTCAGCTTCCTCCCGCCTCACTAGCAACTCCTTTCCAGTCACCAGGGCTGATGTCTCCTGTCCTCCTTAACCTCTGAATGTGCAAGTTGTCACATTGATTGTTTACTAGTTCAAATATGATATTCTTTGATGTCATCAAAGAATAAGGATTAATGAATGGATGCTAGCCTGAAGAGAACCTTCTAGAAATGACTACTTTTTCTTTATCCTTGAATTCTTTAAGAAATTTTCCATGTTTTTGCAAGTGGAATGATTTTGTTTAGATATTGGAATGGCTGAATGTCAGAATCAGACTTCTCAAAGCTTTTGATGAAAGTACTATATCTACCACAATAAAATTGGAGCGAATAAACCAATTCACAAGGGTAAGATGATAAAAACCACATATTAAAATGAGAGAGAGAGAGACAGGGGAAGGGTTTTATGTAAAGTAAGTTTAACAGATATTAGTAATCCCTTGAGGAATGGGTATGAAACAGACATGTTCTCCTTTTTTATAAGAAATATGTTTCTCTTAAATTGGTTTCAATCAAAATTAGAGTGTTTGTACTTCACACTTAAATGAAAGGAGTCTGAATTCAAAGCTGTCCCACTTAATACTATTTCCCCCATCTCCATCTGCTGCATTTGCTTGTCTATTAAACACAGAAAATATATGGCCGGGCATTGTGGTGGGCGCCTATAGTCTCAGCTACTCAGGAGGCTGAGGCAAGAGAATCACGTAAGCCCAAGAGCTGAAGGTTGCTGTAAACTCTGACGCCACCCACTCACTGTGAGTGATAAAGTGAGACTTTGTCTCAAAAAATAAAAAACAAACAAACAAAAAAAAAAACACAGAAAAAAGAAACAGCAATCGTGAAATTCCCTTTTGGTTTTAATTTAATTTAAAATATTTCTTTTGTGATAAATCGAACCTACATAATTTTAATATTTATCCATTGATTTACTGATTCACTTATTAAATAAATTTTTGTGAAGGAAACATCCCTCCCAGGCTCTGGCAACACAAGAGTGAACTAAAGCTAAGTCCCTGTTCACAATATACAGTCTATAGTTCTGTTCAGTATATTAGGTGTGCTACAAATATATACACAAATGTGTGTTTGTGTGTGTGTGTATATATAAATATATAAATATACACACACATACGTAATGTGCCTATATTTTAATATTAAATCAGTAAGTGAGTATACATATAGGATAAGAGTTTCAAAGAAAAATAAGGCCAGGCACGACCATATAGGTGGTGAAGGTGCTAATTCTGAAATGATAGCTAGTGAAGATCTCTCTAACAATAGATAAGAGATTTCATAAAATGAATGTGTAAACTACTTGGCTGTCTGGGGAAAAGATACTCTAGGAAGAGATAGGAGTAAGGTCACAGACAAAGAGGTGGGATTGTGCCTGGCTGTTAGTGGACAGGTGAAGCCACTTTGGCAAAGGCAAAAGGAGCAAAGGAGGCAGAATGGCAGAGGAAAATCAGAGAGCAGTGGGCACTCAACTACATGGAGTGCTAGAGGTCATGATCAAGATGATGGCTTTTTTTCTTAGTGAAATATGAAGCCATTAGAGAAGTGAAATGATCCCATCCTTCACCTGAAAGATGTATTATAATAACCGTTAGTGTAATTCATAAAATATCCCCAGTTATCTTCCAGATAGATGGTAGCTTTGCCCTCTAAATTATATTGCTAGGACTGCTCTAACAAAGTCCTACAAACTGTGTGCCTTAAACAGTAAAAATGTATTGCTTCATACTTCTTGATGCTACAAGTTCAAATCAAGGTATCACCAAGGTTGGATCCTTCTTAGAAGTTGCACCTGAACATATGACTTGCTTTGGCCAGTGAAATATGATTAAAAATGAATGTTCCATTTCTAAGTAGAAATAGTAACAGTTAACATACAATTTACCACATTCTCTTCCTCTATCATAATAAGGTGTCTATATGGAACCTCCATCAGGGTGGGTATCTTAAAAATTGGACATAGAGCTAGAATGAAAAAAAAATCTCTTCTTTTTTAAGCCAAGGGTTGGCAAACTAAGGCCCGTGAAGCTAATTTACCTTGTTGACAATTTTTCTAAGTATAGTTTTATTTATTTAGATATTATCCCATTCTTTTAGATATTATCTGTGATTTTGTGTTAACAATGGAAGAGTTGTTAGAAATATTTACTATCTAGACAACAAGTTTGCCAAATGCTATGTTAAGCTGCTGTGACACTGGGGTTACTGTTATGTTTATCTTGGTTAGCACAATTGTTTGGGGGTGGAGCAGAGATCACGTAGCAGAGGAGCAACGATGGAAGCAGTGGGGTCAGTTAGTGGACTGTAGCAATCTTCTAAGTGGAGAACAGTGGTGCTTTGGACTAGAGTGGTGGGGACAGAAATAGTGAGAAATGGTCACGTTGGGGATGTGTTGTCAAGGTAAAGTTGAGAGATTTTGATAATGGCTCATGTCAGAGGAGTCTGAGATGTCTCCTAAGCAACTAAAAGAGTGCAGTTTCTATTGACTAAAATGGACAGTCTTTGTGGAGTGCCATGTTCTTGTGGAAATGGGACAGAGGGAATTGGACTTGGAGACTCTGGTTTCAGGTGCCTGTTGGACAAAGGCAAGAGATGTCAAACTGGCATATTTCTCACATTGGCAATGCTGGAAAGGACACAGAGAACTCAGCATTGCTGTGGCTAAAATGGTTGGAAAGTCTGTAGGCTTCAGTGTCTTTGGCAGAATAAATGATTATTTTCTTCCTTTAGGGAAAAGGAAGAAAAGATAAATCCTCATTTTTCATAGTGGGGAGTTGTGCATAATCATTTATCAAAATTTCCCTTTCTGATATGATACTCCTATTTTCAATTAAGCTTGGTCTTCCACAGTACAGGAGTCCCTTTTATTTTCTTTCCTTTAAAAAAAAATTTTTTTTGGCCATGTCTAAATAAAGCACCTCTATTCTTCTGCTGGGCTGGAGGGGTGACAGGCACCTGCCTACAAAAAGTTGAGGTGGATGTCTGTAATTATTAAATAGCTTTAAACCAAACAAGGCTACTTCATCTTCCTCCCACTTCTCTTTCACTTCCTAACAAACCTGATGGAACCAATAGCTGAGACTTGTGAGGATTCTACAGGGATTCTGTAGAGCAAATGGGCTTGATGGTCAAGTTTTCACTGCCAGGGTAGGGTATGGCTGTCTCACATCTGTTAATGTGGCCTTTATCTAGGTATTTTCCAACCTCACAAATAATTTGGTTATTGTCTTCTCTCCTTCTCTTCCTATTTTTGAGGACAGATTCCCAATACTGCATTTCAGGGGGATTTGGGGAAGTAAGTGAAATGAGATGTGTATTATCAGTTTTCAATATTTCCCAGAAGTTGTGAATTGTAGACAAAAATGTTTTTCTTCTACACACATGCTGTATGATTCTGTGATTTCTTTTTCAATATTACATAGGATTTGTCAACTATGATCCGTGTGTGTATTTTAAGCCTCACCCGCATTTCCCCATACGTATCCAGGATTTCATCCTTTAACTTTAACCGTTCATCTTGGTCAATGTCTCTAATACTGAGAAGTCTGGTCCTGTACTGTCGAAACTGATGAACTTCTTCGGCCTTTTGCATTGCCTGCTGCTGATTCAGTTCCTCTGTTTGCAACTGAGGCTCCTTATCTGATTTCCTTGATATAAAATCATCACAAGAGAGACATAAAATATCTGAGAACTCTAGGATAAACTTCCCTGTGGTGGTCTGAATCAAATCAAACATTAGGAATAGGAAGAATAAATGATTATTTTCTAGATGGGCTATATTCCATTTACTGAGTCACTAATATTTTGGGAAAATATATTTTGTAGAATATTAGTAAATATGCATTCACCATTTGGTGAGGTGATTGTAGAATTGATGTTCAAAAAATATGAGAACTTTTCAGGTTTTCCTTTTGAATTTATCCAGCTAAATAATTTTGACAATGTTTTCAAACCTATAAATCTGCTTGAGTAGCTGTCTCTCTATTAATCCTGTCCTCTCATTTGACAAAAAATTGAATCTAATTAAATAATGGCAAAAGGTATGATGGAAATTTCCTGTAGCTCAACTCACTTTAATCAGTTTTCAAGTTAAATCTTTACAGAACCATTTAAATCAGGGGTGTCCAACCCTTGGCCTGTGGGCTGCATGAGGCCAGGATAGCTATGTACATGGCCCAACACAAAATTTAAAGTTACTTAAAACATTATGAGGTTTTTAATAATTTCTTCGGTGGAGCTTGTTTGTGTGGTTCTCAACCATGAACTCTGTAGACAACAACATCGTGTCACAATGTCATGTTTTTTATACCTACACTCTCCCTATTTGTACTCATGTGCAGCTTCAGTTTTATGGCGTTGTGTGACTTCCAGTGTGCTATCTTCCAAGCACAGACATTCGAACTGACACCATCAGATGTCACACATGCTGTGGTGACTTGGTGAGGCAGGGATTATCAATAATATTTCAATCTACCATTGCAACATTAGACATTTAACATTATTTAGGTAGGTGAGCATTTTTATTGTATTTTTAAGGTACTTCCACACCAGTGTCTCACACAGAGCCACACTTTACAACCTGCCCTCCACCTCACCATGTATTGGCGGCAGAGATGTGGAAGGTCCCGGACCCTGTTTTCTATTTTCCTATCAATTAATTTTCATTATAAATATAGTCTCTTATCTGCTATAACTTTTTCAATCCTCCTAGCATGGCTTCTACAATATCTCAAAAGAAAACCAAGCTCCCAAAAAGAAAAATTATAGAAGAAGGAAGATTGTTCAATAAAAAGTGTACAGATTACTCCTTTTTTGTTGAGACAAACAGTAAGGCACTCTGCTTAATTGTAGGGAATTTGTGCAAGTTTTCAAGGGCTATAATTTGAAAAGGCACTATATGTAAAAACACGTAGCCAAATTCAATACATATGAAGGATTGTGTTACAAGGACAAAATAGCAGAACTGAAAAAAGTCTCTCTTATCAATATATTTTTTTTAAATTTACAACTCAGATTCCATTGTGAAAGCTAGCTTTGTGGTAGCATATTTTATAGCAAGAAAATCAGAATTCTGATGGTGAATTTATTAAGCAATGTACAGAAAGCATGGCAGATATAATTTGTTCTGAAAAAAAGGGGGATATTTCTAAAATCGGTTTGTCTCACCAGACTATAGCAAGGAGAATTAAAGAAAATCCATCAAAAGAAGTTAGGCGACTAAAGCTGCTGATTTTAAATTTCATAGTTTGGTGATTGATGACAACAGTGATGATAGAAATGAGACTCAACTTGCCATTTTTAATAGAGGTATTGATGACAAATATAATGTCATTCTTCATAATGTCATAATAAAGAAGAAAAGGCTTCTTTATTGCCATTAAAATGCACAATTGATTTTTAGCATTCTACAAAGCTAAAAAAAAATGTTAAAGTGATTTTCCTTGTCTATTGTCAACATATCTGGTATAGTTACTGATAGTGCCTTGGCAATGGTAAGTAAAAGAGAGAATGTGTAAAATTAATAGAAGACGATGCAATTGCCACCCCAAAACTCAGGTTTGTTAAAATACTATTGCATAGTACATCAAGAAAATTTACGCACAAAGCTTTCAAAGTGAATAATGTCATGCAAATCATCATCAAAACTGTGAATTTCCTAAGGGCCAAGGGATTGAACCATTACCAGTTTCAGAAATTCCTTAAAAATATTGATACTGACTATGGTAACATCATTTACTTTTCAGAAGTAAGATGGCTAAGTCGAGGCCAAATGTTGAAAAGATTTTATGATTTGTGACATGTTATCAAGTCACTTATAGTATCAAAACCCAAATTTGTGCCAGAACTTAACAATGAAAACTGGCTTACAGATTTAGCATTTTTAGTGGACTTAAATGCTCATATAAAGGAGTTAAAATATGAATCTTCAAAGTGAAAAACCAACTTATTGATACAATATTTCAAACTCTAAAAGCATTCCAAATGAAATGGAAATTATGGCAAGCTCAAATTTAGGCAAGCAATTTTATGCACGTTGACACATTGGCTAAACACAGTGCTGCGAACAGCAAAAAGATACGCAACCTTGCCTTTCAATTTGATAAAAGAATTTGAAAACTGATTTCAAGATTTCTGGGAGAGTAATCAATATTTTGGTACCTTTGTAACTCCATTTTCAATTGACATAAATATGTTACCTGCCAATTTTGAAATGGAATGGTAGAGCTGCTGTTTGATACTCCAGGAAAAAATTGACCATGTCTCTTTACTGAACTTTTATAGGTCCTGTCTTTCCAGAAACAAATATCCTTCACTTTACAATGATGCCTTATTTGGGTCACTGCTTTTTGGCAGCACCTATATTTGTAAGCAACAATTTTCAAGAAAGAAGAATATTCAGAGTAAAATTGGAACCAAAATATCTCATGAGCATCATGAAAACTCACTGAGAATTGTAACTACTTCCATCAAACCAGATACTGATGCATTAGTTTCTCAAATACAATGTCAAGGTTCCCATTAGTTTTATGTGTCCAGTTTTCTTTTACTTTCGCAATAAAATTATCAAAAAGACTTGTTGTATTACTTAGATATGTACATTTTCTGTATTAGTGATCACAAACTTAGGATCTGCTCAATGATTTTAAAAGACTTTCTGAATGGGCTGTTGCATAATTAGGATCACTATGTGAGGACTTTATTGGTTATCTGTGGTATTGGTTATCATGAAAATTATGCAAGGACCATTTTTTTTGTTTGTTTGTTTTTCTCATCAGCTTTTGTTAGTGTTTGTGTATTTAATGTGTGGCCCAAGACAGTTCTTCTTTCAGTGTGGCACAGAAAAGCCTAAAGGTTGGGAGCCCCTGATTTAAATGCTATTATGAGTGATTTAATAAAATATTTGCTAAGTTTGAGATGGAAAATTTTGTAATTCTAACAACTAAAACACAGTTTATTTTCAAATCTTCAGTTGCTTAGCAACTGCCTATTCACAATATGTCCAAAATTTTATAAACACAGTTGTCTGTGTTAATCATGCTTATTAAAACTTACCGTATAAATTGATTTATATCCAAAGATTGTCGTACTTTTTGAACAAGTTGTGAAGATGCTTCCAAAGTAGTTGGGGATCGTGAATAAGACACTGTTTAAAAAAAAAAAGATGTAGGCTTTCAAAAAAAATTAGCAATGACTGTTAAATCTCATTTCAATTGAAAATTTTACTTTTTGTTAAAAAACAACCATTGATTGATTGAACATGCCTCATTTAATAACTACTGAATGTTATTACACTTTAAGTTAAATTAAGGGGATGACAAAATCAATATACCCTATTAAAAGAATAACAAAATGTTATTCTAATTATAGTTAAATGAATGAGTAAACAAAAAGAAGTCTTACTTTAAGTTATAAAATTTCATTACAAACAAGTTAAATGGTCCAATAGTTACAGATCTTGAGCTGCATATGAAAGTTATACTAAGCTCTATGGGGGTTGGGATATAAATATGTAAAAACCACATATATACTGAAATACTAAAGACAGTATTTTACCTCCCAGAAATTTTTATTCCAGTGGAGTAGGCAACATATAAAAGGTAAGATCAAATTAACATCAGCCTTCTATCCATAGAGCCCAAAAGAAAAGATTTAAGAGAATTTAGAGACTAGGATATTAACCTTTCAGCTTTACCGGATCACTTTTTCTTCTTAAAAAAAAAAAAAAACAAAACAGAAACAAAAACAAAAAATGGAGACAAGATGGCCCACTGGACCCAGCTTTCCACAGAGGCTTTTGTCCAGAAGGAGAGTTAAAGGACAGAAGTTTAGCAAGTAAGCCAATGGTTTGGAGCTGAGCCAAGAGAAAAGGTTGAAGAATGCACATTAACCCTGCTGAGGTGTGCTGTGAACCCAAGGAACAAACAACAGGTACAAAATCCATTGCCAAGTGGATGGGAGACCCCTCCCCCATGAGAATGGCTCACATTATACTCCACAGAAACAAGTGAGCAGAGTTCAGATCCCCTCCTATTTTATTCCACAGGAGAGGCCCTCTAATATCTGGAACTCCTTCCCTAGAGAGGATTTATAAATGTGCCACGGCACTCTCCCTCCAGGCATAAAACTGTATAAAACTGTACATATTCTCTACCTGCATTTCTGAACTCCCAGCACTCCCCTTCACTCTCACCCTGAGGTCTGGAAGCCTGTCTCCCATGGAGTCAAGATGCTTGGGCATTTTCTCGAGAGGTGTGGACAGGGCGTGGGCTGTTGCAGGTCTGTGCTGATTCTGCAGCACAGAAGTAAGGAGAAGATGGTGAACTGAGGCTGAGGGAAACCTACGGAGAGGGAAAGTCAGTGCCCCATGGCACAGAGCAGCAGCAGCGGCAGTGGGAATAGGACTCACACTCCTGGGGATATTTTGAAGAGACACTCCCTGCCTCTCTGGGCAACCAGAGGAAGCTGGGCATCTTCTCTGGTGGCAGCCACTGGCAGAACAGATCTGGGATGGAAATGCAGGCCCCATGAGTAAAGGTTATGCCTGAGGAGGTACCTGCCTGGGCGGAGTGGGGACTAGAATACGTGTATGCAGAGATGGCATACTCCCAGGGTGCAGCTGAACCAGGACTGCTTTGGTGAGCCTAAGACGCACTTGACACTCAGAGGATCATAGCTGAGACAAAAGCAGACGGGAAACCAAAAGCTGAGTATGAGCTCTAACCATGCCTGCCCCAACACAGACTGCAGCTGAGACAGATAACCTGCTCAGGGCAGCGGCACACACTGGGGCTGAGTCACAGTTTCTGTGAACTCAGTGTCTGATCCACAGGGGAATATAGTTGGGACAGAAACAAATTCTACAAAATTGTTCTGTTCTGTCAGCAACATCAATCAGGGGTGGGGTTGGAACTGAGTGAACTGCCCCAGCCTCCATTAAGCACCTGAGGTGGTTAGGCCTCAGCTCCCCCTGCAGGATAGTGGCAGAGAGCAGCAGCCTGGCCAAGGAGACATAGATCTCCCTGTGATTCAGGCAGGCACAAACCCCTGGAACATCGGCTCATAGGAGGGAACTGGGTCACAACCCTGTGGAGTTACCAGTGATTAGGTGTGACAGAGGTGCAAAGTGGGGAAGGAGGCATAAATCTTCCCAGACTAATTCATTTGCTGGTGGAGTCCTTCTGACCTCATGGAGCACCAGAACAAGTGATACTTGAGCTGCCAGCAGACCCCTCCTATCAAGTTGATGGAAACTTTTTGAACTTTCCCACCTGAGACTGGTGCTGACTGGACAATTGATTTGGACCTCTTGAACTGGGCCAATCACCTGAGGACTATCCAAAGTGGTACCCTGGATGTGTGGTTTTGGGAAGATTTCATTTTCCTTTTCCAATTGTTGCCTGTGGGAAGCTAGATGACTTTATTGCTGGTATTTCTCCATAGCTAAGACTTCAACCCAGAGTAACTGATTCACTAGGGTAGGACAGAAACCAGCTGAAAATAAGACAGAGCCACTGAGCCCCACCACACCAACTAGGTACCCAGTTTCTTAGGCCATAGCACTGTACAAGTCCTTTGCAAGGCTCTAGAGGAAAAGGTACAGACACCAGGCTGAGCTCTTGGGTAAAGGGCTGGTTAATTACTACTCCAGGAGCCCCCCAAACCAACTTCACCTTATCTGCTCATCTAGCCAAATGGTGTAAATTAATCACAAGATGAAATCAGCAGAAAAACTCTGGTAACATGAATATCCAGAGTAGATCAACTTCCCAAAGGAACAACACGCGGACACAACTGAAGATCCCATTCATAAACAGATGGCTAAGATGTCAGAAATTGACTTCAGAATTTGGATTGCACATAAGATTAATAAAATGTAGGTAAAGTTGGAATTAGAAATTCAAGGAGCATTTCAAAAGTTGTCTCAAGAATTCAATGAATTCAAAGATAAAAATCACCAAAGATTTTGTCATACTGAGACAAGAATTTGAAGCCCTCAAAGATCTGAGAAATACAGTAGAATCCCAGAATAACAGAATAGAGCAGGCAGAAGAAAGGATTTCTGATATTGAAGACAAAGCTTTTGAATGCTCCCAAGCAGTCAAAGAGGAAGAAAATTGGAGAACAAAAATGGATCATTCTCTCAGAAAGCTCTGGAATAATTCAAAGAAAATTAATATTCACCTTATAGGAATTCCTAAAGGCATTGAGGTGGCTTCAAAAGGCACAGAGGCTCTTCTTTATAAGATAATGAATGAGAACTTTCCAGACATGCCAAGAGATTCTGGAATTCAGATAGCAGAAAGTTTCAGAGCCCCAGCATGACTCAACCCAAAAAGACATCTCCTAGACACATCATAATTAACTTCGCCAAAGTTAAAATGAAGGATAAAATTCTGCAAGCAGCCAGACAGAAGAAAACCATAACCTACAAGGGGAAGAATAATAGAATGACTGCAGGTCTCTCTGCTGAAACCTTTCAAGCTAGAAGAGGGTGGTCAACTTTTAATGTCCTAAAACAAAATAACATTCAACCAAGCATCTTGTATCCAACTAAACTGAGTTTGATTTATGATGGAGAAATTAAATACTTTAATGATATTCACATGTTGAAGAAATTTGTCATAACTGAACCAGCTCTCCAGGATATTCTTAGACCTATCTTCCATAATGACCAGCACAATCCTCCACTACAAAAGTAAACTCACTCAGAAACTTTTGATCAAATTCCAACTTCCACAGTGGCAAAGGATTAAAAATGTCCACTGGACTTTCAAAAAACTCAATACCCAAAATTCTACCAAGCTTATTAATATTTATAATTAATGTGAATAGCTTAAGTTGTCCTCTAAAGAGGTACAAGTTGGCTGACTAGATATAAAAACTCAGGCCAGATATCTGTTGCATACAAGAATCTCATCTTACCTTAAAAGATAAATATAGACTCAGGGTGAAGGGATGGTTATCTATATTTCAGGCAAATGAAAATCAGAAAAAAGCAGGTGTTGCAATTTTATTCGCAGATACAATAGGCTTTAAACCAACAAAAGTAAAGAAAGACAACGATGGTCACGTCATATTTGTTAATGGTAAAACTTAACTTGAGATTTCAATTATTAACATTTATGCACCCAACCAGAATGTGCCTCAATTTATAAGAGAGACTCTTCTAACAGACATGAGCAACTGAATTTCCTCCAGCACCATAAGAGTCAGAGATTTTAACACTCCTTTGAAAGTATTGGATAGATCCTCCAAAAAGAAGCTGAGCAAAGAAATTTTAGACTTAAACTTAACCATGAGCAAAGAAATTTTAGACTTAAACTTAACCATTCAACATTTGGATTTAAAAGACATATACAAAACATTTCATCCTAACAAAACTGAATACACATTCTTCTCATCAGCCCATGGAAGATACTCCAAAATTGATCACATCTTAGGTCACAAGTCTAACCTTAGCAAATAAAAGAATAGAACTTATTCCTTGCATCTTCTCAGACAATCATGGAATAAAAGTTGAACTCAGCAACAACAGGAATCTGCAGACTCATGTAAAAACATGGAAGCTAAATAACCTTATGCTGAATGATAGATAGGTCAGAGATGAGATCAAGAAGGAAATTACCAAATTTTTGGAACAAAAGGACAATGAAAACACGAATTATAGGAACCTCTGTGATACTGCAAAGGCAGTCCTAAGAGGGAAATTTATAGCATTGCAAGCCTTCCTCAAAAGAATGGAAAGAGAGGAAGTTAACAACTTAATGGGACATCTTAAGCAACTGGAAGAGGAAAAACATTCCAATCCCAAACCCAGCAGAAGAAAAGAAATAACCAAAATTAGAGCAGAACTAAATGAAATTTGAAAACAAAAGGATTATACAACAGATCAATAAATCAAAAAGTTGGTTTTTTGAAAAGGTCAATAAAATAGATAAACCTTTGGCTAACCTAACCAGGAAAAAAAGAGTAAAATCTTCAATTTTGTCAATCAGAAATGGTAAAGACAAAATAACAACAGACTCTTCAGAAATTAAAAAAATCCTTAATGAATATTGTAAGAAACTCTATTCTCAGAAATACGAAAATCTGAACTAGATAGACCAATACTGGGAAGCACATCAACTTTCTAGGCTTAGCCAG